GGCAGCAGCAGGGACCTGGCCTGGTCCTTCTGCTGCTCCATCCAGCCTTGGGAAAGCCACTGGCAGAGGGGAGCAGGGGAGACAGCCCTGCGTGTCCCCTGCCATCCCCTGTGTGTCCCCTGCTGTCACAGACATATTTTATGAAAATTCCTTTTGCCAGGAGCTTTTCTCCTGAGAAGCTGGGAAGCTTCAGCTTCTCCATGTTTTGCTGCTTTGGAATGTGACTGGGAGAATTGTTTGCCCAGCATGTGAAATTGTTTTTACTTGATGACCAACAACAGCCACTGGTGTCGAGGCTGTGAGCAGTCACGAGATTCTGTTATTCATTCCTTTGCTTTCCTTTCCAGCTTTCTGATGGATCCTTTCTCTCTATTATTTTTAGTATAGTTTTAGTATAGCATTTTAATATAATATCATAATAAATCAGCATTCTGAAACATGGAGTCAAGATTCTCATCTCTTCCTTTGTCCTGGGACTCTTGAGCATGACCACACCCTGCCTGTCCCCTGCCTGTGCCCTGTGTGTCCCCTGTGTGTCCCCTGCCTGTCCCCTGCCCATGCTGCTCCCAGCAGCTCCAGCCCCATCTGGTTCCTGTTCCAGCAGCCACCCAAGGAGGGGAGGGAGGGGAAGGATCCCTCCCCCGCAGCTCAGTGGAGAACAGGAGGAGGCAGAGCAGCTTTTTTAAGCCATGGCTGCCCTTCTCTTTACCTTCCTACCTGGAAGGCGGCCAGGAGCAGCTCCTGCCTTCCCCATTCCCATCTGGAGGGAACCTTCCCCTCCTGGGCGCTCCCGCCCTGCCCTGGCACTGCCCTGGCACCGGCTCCTCTCCTGCTCCCACAGCCCTTTGTCCTGAGCTGCTGTTTGCACCCCGTGGAAATTCCCAACGTTCCCAGCCCTGCAGGGAGCGGGGAAGGAGCGAGGGATGGGAACAGCTCAGCCCCCATGGAGAACACCCCAAAAGGGGCACCTGCCACCATCCCAGCTGCTCCAAAGCCCATCCAAACCCCATTCCAGGGATGGCAGCTACAGCTTCTCTGGGAATTCCATCCCAGCCCCTCACAGGGAACAATTCCTCCCCAGTATCCCACCCAACCCTGCCCTCTGGCACTGGGGAGCCGTTCCCATCCCCATCCCCCGGCACAGCCTCTCCGTGGGTTCTCCCCACGGATGAAAATCCCGGCCAGGGGCTCTGATCCAGCTGCAGCTCCCGGAGGATCCCGGAGGATCCCGGGCGCAGGAACGGAGCCTGCACACCCGGTGGCAGCAAAGAAACGCGCAGGAGAGAGAATCCCGGGAAGGGCCGGGAGGGGAATCCCGGGATCCTGGGCAGGATGGGAATCCCGGGATCCTGGATGAGGGGCAGGAATGAGAACCCCGGGATCATGGATGAGCTGGGATGATGGGCAGGATGGGGAATCCCGGGATCCTGGGCAGGATGGGAATCCTGGGATCCCGGATGATGGGCAGGATGAGAATCACAGGATCCTGAGCAGGATGGGGAATCCTGGGGTCCTGGGCAGGATGGGAATCCTGGGATACTACATGAGCTGGGATGATGGGCAGGATGGGAAATCCCAAGATCCTGGACAAGATGGGAATCCCAGGACCCTTACTGATGGGCATGATGGGAATCCCAGGATCCTGGGCAGGATGGGAATCCAAAATCCTGGGCAGGATGGGAATCCAGGGATCCTGAGCAGGATGGGAATCCCAGGACCATCCCAGAGCCTGGGCATTCCCGGGGTGGCTGGGCTGATCCAGCACAGCAAAGCTCCAGGTGTGTTAAATGTGAGATTCCCTTCTTCCCAAATTCTCATTTTTGGGGTTTCAGTAAATCCCAGGATGTGCCCCTGGCTGGGATGATTGTGGGGCTGCCCCTGCTCTGCTCACACCCCCTGGAAAATCCCTTTGGGATCCCTGCAAGGTGTCAGGAACCATCCAAAGGAGATTTTGGGAAGGAACTGCTCCCTGAGAGGATGGGGAGGCCCAGGTCTGCAGGATGAGCATCCCCAGAGGCTCAGCCCCACCCTGGAGGGAGGAGAAGTGGAATGGAGGAGGGAAACTGAGGCACGGAGCTGCTGCACTAAAATGCTGTTAGAAAGGAATGGAGGTGAGGGGGAACCTGACTCAGAGCTGTGTCCAAGGAGCAACTTTCCCTTGGATGTGTCCAGAGCCAGCACTACTTCTCACATTAAATATAATTTTATATCAATATATTATATCCATATTTATATCTATATATCTATAAAGTATCTATAGATAGTATATACAAGATGTATATTAAAATATATAATATAATATATAAATTTATAATATAATTTATAGTATAGATAATTTACAATATATATTTTATATATTTATGTATTATATATTATTTTATATTATATAGAATGTATAATATAGAATATTCTATATCTCATCCACATTTATATTATAAATTATATTTTCCATAATTTACAATAGAATTTATATTATATATAAAGATAATCTATATAAAAATATACCTATTCCAGCTCTTTTTCAAACCAAGGAACCCCTCCAATCCTCCTGGAGATTCCCAAACCATCCCCTGAGCTGACAGTGACAGACACTGGTGGCAGGCAGGGATTCTGTCCCCTCTGCACTGACTGAATTTGCATTGGGATTTTCCTGCTCCACCTTTCATCTCCCGTGATTAATGCCCTGCAAACCCAGAGACAGCAGCAGCTGCTCCTCCCCAGCTTCCCCAGAGCAGCTGAGGGGGAAAAAATCTGCTTTTGTTGCAGCTCTGCTGGCTTTGTGAAAAGCCTTTTATTGCCAAGGGCGAGGGAACACTGAGTAAAGCTGGAGTATCCTGCTCTTTCATTGCCAAGGGTGAGAGAACACTGAGTAAAGCTGGAGTATCCTGCTCTTTCATTGCCAAGGGTGAGAGAACACTGAGTAAAGCTGGAGTATCCTGCTCTTTTATGCCAAAGGTGAGGGGAACAGGGAGTAAAGCTGGAGTATCCCGCTCCTCTCCTGGGATCTGGGGCACTCCAGGGGTCTGGGATGGGACAGGGATGGGAATGGAAGGTTTGGGATGGGTCTTTGTGGGGCACAGCTTGTGCCTGGCCAGAGAAGGGGCTGGACAGCCTGGATGGACCCAAAATCTGGCTGGATGGATCTAAAATCAGCCAGGATGGATACAAAATCAGCCTGGGTGGATCCAAAATCAGCCTGGGTGGATCTACAATCAGCCTGGAGAGGTTCAAAATCAGCCTGGAGAGGTCATCAACCTGGATGGATCCAAAATCTGCCTGGATGGATCCAAAATCAGCCTGGATGGACCCAAAATCAGCCTGGAGATATCCAAAATCTACCTGGATGGACCCCACAGCTCCTTCAGCAGGAATCATGGAATGGATTGGGTTGGAAGGGACCTCAAATATCAACCCAGGGACACCTTCCACTCTGCTCCAGCCTGGCCTGGGACACTGCAGGGATCCAGGGGCCTCTCCACCCTCACAGGGAGGAATTTCTCCCTAAAACTGATCCCATTTTCCCCAGGAGCAAGACCAGCAGGTGCAAATTCCAGGGAAAAGCAGAGCACAGGGAGAGCCTGGCAGGGAGGTGCCGTCTGCAGGGCGGCCACCAAGAGGTGCCAACAGCTCTTGCAAAGCCTCGGCAGCTCCTCCAGCCCAGCTCCAGGTTTATTATCCCTTCCTCCTGTTTCTCCAGCTCCTCTCCAGCTTTATTACCCTCTCCTTCCATTTTTCCAGCTCCTCTCCAGGTTTATTTTCCCTTTCTCCTGTTCCTTCAGCCCAGCCCCAGCTCTGCCAGGGGCAGTGGGTGCTGCCAGCTGGGCTGAGCTCCTGGGGAGGAGCAGTTCACATCCTCAGTGCCCAAATCCCAGAGTTTGGAGGAGCAGGATGCATCCTTAGTGCCCAAATCCCAGAGTTTGGAGGAGCAGTTCACATCCTCAGTGCCCAAATCCCAGAGTTTGGAGGAGCAGGTTGCATCCTTAGTGCCCAAATCCCAGAGTTTGGAGGAGCAGTTCACATCCTCAGTGCCCAAATCCCAGAGTCTGGAGGAGCAGTTCACATCCTCAGTGCCCAAATCCCAGAGTTTGGAGGAGCAGTTCACATCCTCAGTGCCCAAATCCCAGAGTTTTTTTGAGGAGATGGATGATGTCTCCAGGTCCCAGCAGTGCCAGGGAAGCACGGAAGGGTTTTCCTGGGAGCTCTGCCAGGAGGAGGAATGCCAGGACTCAGGGATGCCAGGATGCCAAGAGGACCAGGAGCCTTCCCTGGCACCAGCTGCAGAGCCCCGTGGCCCTGCCTGGCAGGAATGGCACACAAAGCCACCAGGTGCTTCCCAGCCATTGGGGATGCTGCTTTCAGGGAAAATCCCAGCATTTTCCTGTGCCAGGGATCCTGCCTGGAACCAGCTCAGCTGGGACAGCAGGAGGAGGAGGAGGAGGAGATGAAGGAATCCTGCAGGGAGCCATGGAGACACCAGGGAAAAGGAGGGTGGAGATTCCACCATTCCTGCTGCCAGCTCCAAGAAAGGGATTTACAGGCTGAGATTTCCCTCCTCTCCTCCTGATCTACACATCCCCAGTCCCAGCCTCAGCCCTTTTCCTGCCCTGACAGCAAAGCAGCTGCCAGTGCTGAGCTGAGCATCCCCAGGGATGTTTAACAGGAGAAGGGAGGGGATGAACACCCCAAAATCCCTGGGTGCAGCTCCTGAGAGCCAGCAGCACCCACCTGGGACACTCAGCTGCCTCTCCCCAGTGATCCCAGAGAGGCAAAACCACGGAGCCACTGAGGGACCATCAGCACCAGAAACCTTTTCTCACATCTGCCAGCACAGAGTGAGGAAAATGCAGCAGCACCAGGGATTGTTCCCATTCCTTTGCCACCCTTGTTCTTCCAGGCAGGTTCCATCAATCCACGGATCCCCAACCCCCAGCCCGGGCCAAGGTGGGCCAGCCAAGCTCCACCAGGCAAAGGAACACACAAAAAGCAGGATCGGGTCTTACCTGGCACTTTGGAATGTGGCAGAGTCGGATTTCCCAACGGCCCCGAAGCCAACTCCCACTGCCAGGCCCTCTGGAAAGCAGGGAAAAACCAGTAAGGACCAGGAAGGTGCAGCCCTGAGCCCAGCCCAGGGGGATCCTGCTCCTTGGAATCCACAATTCCATCCACCATGACCCAGGCTGTTCTCCAGCACGGGGAGAGGTTCTGGATCGATGAGTAAAGGAGAAAGATCCCAATCCCCAGCAGCTGGAATGGGATTTCACCAAGGAGCCAAGCAGTGCCAAACAGCAAAGCTGCTCCAAAAGGCTCAAAAGCTTTTTGGAAGCACCAAAAGCACCAAAAGCTTGGTGGGTTCCAGAAGAACAAAGCCCAGCTTCTCCCAGGAATCCCCCAGGAGCTGGAATAAACCAGGATCAGCTCCCAGCAGTGCCCCCTGCCCTCCCTCTGTGCCCCAAAACCACACAACACCTGTAGGGACAGGCTCCAAAGCACGAGGAAACCCAAATTCCACGAGAAAATTCCTGCCTTGCAGATTATTGTATATTGTATATTAGCTGTAATATTGCATATTACAGCTAATCCCATCATTTTAAATACAGTTTATCCCATAAACCCCAAGGAAAACAGCTGAAAAGCCTTCACAGGAAAAAAAAAAAAAAAAAAAAAAAAAAAAACAAACAAAAAAAAAAAAACCCCTGATTTTCAGAAAGCACCAAAGTCTCAGTATTTTTTTCCCCCTTGGTTTAAAATATCCATTTTTGGGGTATAAAATCCCAATTTTTGAGGTACAAAATCCCCATTTTTGAGGTACAAAATCCCCGTTTTGGGGCTCTGAAATCCCCATTTTGGGGCTTTGAAATCCCCATTTTTGAGGTATAAAATCCCCATTTTTGGAATATAAAATCCCCATTTTTGGGGTTTTTAAATCCCCATTTTTTGAATATAAATTCCCCATTTTTGGGTTTTTAAATCCCCATTTTTGGAATATAAATTCCCCATTTTTGAGGTTTAAAATCCCCATTTTTTGGAGTATAAAATCCCCATTTTTGGGGTTTAAACCCCCCACTTTTGGGGTTTTTTGCAGCCTCGTGGCCTCGCTCCCCTCCCAGGGGGTGGGGGGAATGTTCAGAGGACAGAACCAAAACTGGAGGGGCTCAGGTGAGCCTTCAGCAGGTGGGAAGGGCACCCTGTTCGTGTTTGTGGCCCTGAGAGTTCCCAGTTGCCTTGGAAACAGCAGGAAAAGCAGCAGCACTCCCCGGGATGACCAAACATTCCCATCCCTGAGCCTCAACTCAACACTTGGCAGCTCCTCAGAGCCTGGAGCCACGGACAGGGGGAAACCAGAGCAGAACCAGCCCTGAAACAGGGTGAGGAGATCCCAAAAATTAAAAAAAAAAAATTGGCCCAAAATCCCCCAAAAATTGGCCCAAAACCCCCCCAAAAATTGGCATGTGCCACACCTGGGGGTCACCAAGTGTCCCCACTGTCCCCAGCTCACCCAGCTGGGACACAGCTCTGCTGAGCCCTGCAGGGTGGGGGTGCCCGGGGGGCTCAGCAGAGCTGGGGCACAAAAATAGAATAAAAATGGAATTTTCTGCCCACGAAACCAGCCCTGGCACTGCTCCTCCCAGAGATCCCTCACCCAGGGGGCAGAATTCAAAGGGAAAAGCCCTTTTTTAGTAATTCCCATTCCAAATGGTGTGTGAGGAACAGAAATGCCTTTTTTTTTGTGAGAAAAGGAGAATTTGAGATGCTAAAAAGCCCCTTTGCAGGAGCAGGACTGAGGGTGCCAGCACAGGGAGCTCATCCCAAAAAATCCATCCCTGTGATGGAACAGAGCACCAATAGTTCCCAAATCCTGCAGGACTTGCCCATCCCACAGCACAAACACTTCCCAAGTCCTGCTCAGTGATCCCAAATCCTGCAGGACCTGCACATCCCACAGCACAAACAGATCCCAAATCCTGCTCAGTGATCCCAAATCCTGATCAATGATCCCAAATCCTGCTCAGTGATCCCAAATACTGCAGGACCTGCACATCCCACAGCACAAACAGATCCCAAATCCTGCAGGACCTGCACATCCCACAGCACCACAGTTCCCAAATCCTGCTCAGTGATCCCAAATCCTGCAGGACCTGTCCATCCCACAGCACAGGTGCTGCCAGGGCTGGGGGTGTCCCTGTCCCCTCCCAGAGGGGCTCTGGGGCTGGTTCTCTGCCTCAGCACAGCGAGAGGGAAGCTTCTCCAGCTGCCAAGGTCTCATCCATTATTCATCCTGCTCTTGGAAGAGCTGCTCAGCTCCTAGTGGGAAATTAATCTTGCCATAATGAGGTTTGGATTTCTCCAAGAGTTTAAGCACTGCCACTCAGAGCTTTTTCCCTGCAGACCGAAGCCCAGGGCCCTCCAGGAAACATCATTTTGTCATTATTGCTGGAGGATTAGCAGATTCCAGGCATTCTCCAGGTTTGTAGGTTCCCCTCCACCTGAGGGTTTGTGGGCATTCAGGTGGAATTTGGGAGGCAGGAGGAAATCCTGCTCATTCCTAATCCTGGTTTAACCCCCTCAGGAGCCAGCCCATCCTCAGCCCACCCTCTTCTTTCTTCTCTTCCTCCCACAAAAGCAAATCCTCATTTCAATCCTCAGTTCAATTCCATGGAGCTGCAGCAGCTAACAGAGCTGAAAACTCAACCTCCACCTGACTTTATAGAAATCCATCTGATTTTATAGAAATCCACCTGATTTTATAGAATTCCACCTGATTTGAAAGAACTCCACTTGATTTTATAAATTCCATCTGTTTTTATATGATTCCACCTGATTTTTAAGGAACTCCACCTGATTTTATAGGATTCCACCTGATTTTATATAATTACATCTGATTTGAAAGAACTCCATCTGATTTTATAGGATTCCATCTGATTTTTAAGAATTAAAGCAACTGCCCAACATCCCAAAACTCCTCCATGCTGGAAATGCTGGAAGCAGAAAACGCTTTCCCACATTACCAAAGCAGAACTGAGCTAAAAGCAGGGCCTGGCCCTGCTGGGATTGAGCTCTCCTGACCCCACGGCACCTGAATCCATCAGAGATATTTAAAGTTTCATTCCCAGCACATCAATGCTTTCTCAGGCCACTGCTCAGCGAGGTTTAATGTGACAGAGCTGAGATCCGATGGGGACAAGGCAGGGAAGCAGCTCCCACATGCATATTTCAGTGGGATATTTCATTCCAGCTGGTGAAAATCCTGGATTTAATTGCCTTTTGTCACCTTGGTGGCTGCTGCTGCTGACAAAACACCGAGGTGTTATCAGTGCAGCACCGGCTGCCTCCAAATGAGTTGGTGACAGCTGGTGACAAAGGGACACCAGAGACCCCCCTGTCCCCGCCTTACCAGCCTGAGGAAAAATCCCCACCCTGGAAAACATGGGATTTCCTTCAGCTGCTCCCACTGCAGAGCCTCCAGCTGCAGGGGGAGCCAAACACAGCCTGAGAGCAGCAGCCACGGCTGGGGATGTCACCTGAGCCCTGGGGATGTCACCTGTGTCCCTCACTGAGAGCAGCACCCACAGGTGGGGACATCACCCACATCCTTCACCAAAAAATGTCACCTGTGTCCTTCACCTGAGGGCATCACCCAAACCGGGGGATGGCACCTTCATCTCTGACCTGGGGATGTCACCTGAGCCCTGGGGATGTCACCTGTGTCCCTCACTGAGAGCAGCAGCCATGGCTGGGGATGTCACCGGGTCCTTCACCTGTGGGCATCCCACATGGCTGGGGATGTCACCCACCCCTGGGGATGTCACCTGGGAATCACCTGGGCATCCCACATGGCTGGGGATGTCACCTGGGGATGTCCCCCATGTCCCTCTCCCTCCCTGCAGGTTATCCCAAGGACTCCAGCGAGGCTTTCCCTCCACAGGAGACGGAAATGTCCCAGCCCTGCTGGGGAGGTGACAATTAACGAGGTGACAATTAACGGGCCATTAACCACAGCTCAAGGGGACCTCTCCCAGCTCCTGCAGTGCCCTGGAACGTTCTGGATGGAGCTCCCGGCTCTGCCTCCATCCCCTCTATCCCCTCCTCCCCATCCCTGGCTCCCTCTGGAATTCCCCCGGAGCTGCCAGGGGCAGCAGCCCCGGGGCCCAATCCCAGCTGGATTTTCTCTCCAGAGCAGAAACGCTGGGAAAAACTCAGGGCTATTCCAGTGTGCACCTTCCCATCCCTGAGGCAGCCCGAGCCAGCAGGCTGCTCCACTCCCTGCAGTTCCATGGAATTGCTGCCCCACCTCTCCCTGCAGCAGCAGCATCCCTTACCTGCACCTTCCTGGGGATGCAAGGCTGCAGGGAAGCCTTTTCCTCCTTTTCCTCGCTAAAAATGACCCTTCCAGTAGGACTGGGGCTGCTCCAGGTGCCCAGGAAGAGGCAGGAGCAGGCAGGGCAGGAGGGATGCTGGAATTCCAGGAAGAGGCATCACCCAGACGAGGCACAGATTAATGGGTGCAGCCAACCTGGCTCCTGTTCTCACACCCTGCTGAGCCCCAGCAGGTTCCCAAATCCTCATTAAAGTCAACAATTGGAAAACAGCCTCAATTTCAACAGCCCCACGAAAAAAAAAATAAAACATCATCATTCCAAATGAATGTTCCCAGCCTTTGAACGGAGCTGGGAGAATATTCATATCAATAATCAGAGCTGCTCATAATTGAGATGCAATCTGGCACTCATTGTCCTTCCCTGGGGAGGCTGAGCCCTGTCCCGGGAGGGGGAATCCAATCAATTTTTGCTAATGACAAAGCAAGCAGCCTGGAAATCACCTCCCTTCCCAGGAACTCCAATCTGCCAGCACAGCACGGAGCCTCTGCCGTGCACAGCCCCCTCCCCTCAGCCCAGGAGCTGCTCCACAGCCCCCTCAGTTCACCCCTAACCCCATCTTCACCCCAGGAGCTGCTCCACAGCCCCCTCAGTTCACCCCTAACTCCATCTTCACCCCAGGATCTGCTCCACAGCCCCCTCCCGTCACCCCCAGCCCCACCTTCAGCCCAGGAGCTGCTCCACCTCGGCAAGGAG